TTATGCCATCCGCCCACTTACAATATGTAGTTTGAGGCTCACAGGCCTGAGGGCATACTAGGCGTTGATACTCTTGATCTGGGGATCTGAGTAGCCTGATGAAGTCCTCGAAGGCCATTTGTGTATGAGGGCAGAAATAGACTGTGGCCGCGGAAGCCGTACATTGTCTTTCCTTCGCGATGATAGCTGCGCATTCCCGCTCGAGCGCTCCAAAGGCCGACAGTGGATGCAAGTCCATGCAGTAGCTACAAAGAAGCTTGTCGCGTGGGGTATACCGTCTGATAGCGTCGTTAGCCTCCTCGTACTCAGCAAATCGGTCGAAGCGATCCTTTCGTAGTCGCCATGCGTGTTCGTCAGCGGCGTCGTTGTCAAGGTCTCCGATAACTCTGTTCGTGACGGATACCATCCAAACGTATTTGCATATGGTACGGAAGCTGTGTTGGTCGACTGGGGTGAGAAGCTCGAAGATATCCAGGAGAAGTTCCCCAGGCAGATGCGCGAGGTTGCTCCTGTTGCTTGCACGGGGTGTTTCGCTGCGTGATCTCAGCGGCATTAACACGAACGCTGGATCGGGCCAGTGATGGCCGCTGTACTTTTGCTCATCGGCACGATCACGCCTGCATCGGTGTATGAAGTAGGCTTTTGCGGCATCATCGCCAGCGACACTGTGTCGATATCGATACGGCGGAGCACCATACATGATCTTAGGAGGTCCGGTTGCTGTCATACTGGATCTTCGAGACCGCTAACGGAAATTGTTTCGAATGTTAGGAAGAAAAAGAGGTCGATGTGATGGATGAAGAGTGCTCGGATGAGGTTTGTTGGTTATAAGTCCAAGAGGCGAGGCAGCAGTGCGCGCTAGTGATCACGTGCGCAGACACGCCCATGGTTGATCGACCTCTTTGGTTGGGTTATCCCATCAAAAGCATCTGATGACGCTGAGCTTCTCATGAAGAGAAAATCTACCCGCGCATCTGTTCACTTGTGTACTTCGTCAGCGAGCAGAACAATTGAAGAGGAGGTGTGTTCGTATGTGATGGGTAGCTCGGTTCATCGAGACACAGCGATCTACCCGGCCTAATTTGCTTCCGTTTGTCTTCTCCATACCGAAACCCAAAGTTTCGCCCCTCTGACACCAGAAATACCTCTCAGCAGTCTCCTAAACTCGAGCATCCGCCACAGGAGACTGCGTACTCACTAGCCAACTCTCCGCTGTTACCGTCGTTATTTTCACCCTCCTAATCGCCTCGATAGTAATGCCATGCTGTTCCAGAATCACCTCTACCCCCGCTATACATCCAGCTTTCTCACAGCCTGAGAATCGGGTCGCCTTGTATGATGCCATTCGAAAAGAGCTGTGCTTTCGGTTGGGGCGGAGAAGCGCTTCCTCTATTATATTACCAAGCATCTTGCAGGTTCTGTCTCTAATCTGTATATGTGGACAGATATACATGTCCGCGTTTTGGACGACTTTGCGAAGAGTGGACAATATGGTTGATTTTGCGGAGAAGGAATCGCATCGGATGGGGAGACATCCTAGCATCGGCCAGATGTACTTATTGCTTGCCATAGGTAGGAATATCCTTCGGGATAATGAACAGTGGTCGCTAGCGCCGATTAATGTTGACCCGGAACTGCAGCTCGCGGAGCAGAGTGCGCATACAAGACGATCCGTGAGGCCTCTGCATAGTTGGTTCAAGTCTTCGAAGGATAACTGCATATGAGGACAAAGATATACCTTAGCCTGGGATGCTGTGCAGCGTCTTCGGTATGCACTCCCGGTACTATGCTTCGAGACTTCGGCTGCGCTAAAAGAGGAGATCGGGTGGAGGTCCATACAGTAGCTGCATAGGAGCTTGCCACGTGGAGTGTATCTGTAAAGAACGTTGTTAAAGTTCTCATACTCTGCCATTCTATTAAAACAATCTTTGCGGGTCCTCTAAGCGTGTTTGTCGAGGGCTTCGATTGGAAGTCGATGTAAGCGTGCTCGAGTCCTCTTTGTAGCAGTCAGACTCCTTATGTCTCTGCACGCTGTGCGGTAGCTAAGCAGATCGATAGGCGCTAGATGGTCTGCGATATTTGAAATTAGCTCTCCCGGTAGCCTAAGTAGATTGAATTTGTTGCTGACCTGACAGTTCTTGCTGCTTACGTGTGGCGGCATCAAGACGAGTTCAGAATCGGGTCTGTGGTGGTCGCTACACCAGTGCCTCCAAGCTTCATCGTTGCGGTTAGATGAGTAGTGATAGTAGTGGTCGCACTGTCCTACAGATGTACGATCCAGGTTGCGTCGATACATGAAGTAATCTTTCGCGACAGACCAGTCGATATGGTCGTGGGTCGGTACGTCATCTGAAAGGCCGGAGGCGACAGTATTCGCCATCTGAGAGATGAACTGAAGATGACTTGTCTGGGACAAGGAGGAGCAGTGCTGAGGCGAAAGTGTGAAGAGATGAAGAGAGAGAGAGAAAGCGACGAAAACTCAATATTTCAGGCGAGAATTCAGGCAGTCGCCCCCACGTGCCCGCTTCTCTCTGGACCCTGTTGAGCTGGTTGTCCCATCATATGTGTTGATAACGATAGGCCTACCATAGAATGGCAAGAGTTGCACCAGGATCCCACAACCCAGCTGGGAGAAGTGGACGGTAGCTCAGGATGGGTCACTGAATGATCTTGTTAGGGAAGATACATGTTAAGAATTTGATAGCGATGATAGCAGCCTAGAGATCCATAACCCCAATCCCATCTAAATCAAAACGCCGGGACACGTCTGATCCCAAGTATACCCTTCAACGCCATGCCACCCTATAATATCATTTTGAAGCCAACAAGTGAGATCCCCTCTTCCGCCTCCCAGCATATCCACATCTACTGATGTATCTGACTCACATGCCCCGCCTGTCCAGCACCACCCCACTCACTATCGTCATCACTACCCACATCCGTCCAGCTCGTAGGGGTCATAATGCCCTGCCTGTCGCCGTCGAACTCGCTGAAGCCGCCCTCGGAAAATGCATCTGTAAACCCGCTTTCTGAACGGGCGTCGTGGTCTGTGTCGTTTTGTTCGCTGTTGGGCATGCTGAGGATGGCGATGTCGTTTGCGTGGGCGGAGGCGACAGAGCCGCTCATGGTCATGGAGCGCTCGGAGCGCGGGGTTAGGGTGCCGGTGGAGAGGTGCTCGGCGTCGTTGTCGTCGAAGAATGGGTGGGAGGGAGTGGGTTCGCCTGCTTGCGAGGAGGTGAAGGAGTAGAAGGATTGGGCGGCTTGATCGGCGTCTTCTTGGGCGGGCTGCGCGGGCGATGGGGTCTCGGGGAGAGAGTGCTCGGGGTCGGGGGTTAGGTCGACGAGTGTGCCGGTGGTGGGTGTGGAGGGGACGTCGGCTACGATTGTAGCGGAGCTTTCGCGGGCGGCAGGTTCTTCGTAGTTAAATGGCTTCGGTGAGGGCGCTTCGTCTTCGTCGTGGTCGAATAGGACTTGGTCGTCGGAGAAGGGGTTGGCCATGGTAGCAGCGGCAGCGGAGCCGGCGGCAAAACCAGCAGCACCACGCTTCTTGAGATTCCCATTCGAGTTGTCCATGCCAGTTGCAGTCGCGTTGTCCCTGAGCATGCCATCACTGCCGACCATGTCGTCGAAGCTTCTCGTCCGGTCAGCCCTGGACCGCCTGGCAGCCACCTCAGCCGTCTCAGCACCGATCCTAGCCAGCTCATCCAAATCGACAGCTATGCCCTCTTCTCTTGCCCGCCTGATCAGTTCGTTCCTATTCCTCCTGATCAACTCCTCTCTCCGTTGCTTCCTGGCTTCGAAGTCATCGGACGATTCGCTCGGGCGGCGAGGCTGAATGTCATCGCCAAGGTTATGCAGCGCGATGGCGATCTTGCGGCGGGTTTGGTCGGCCCATTGTCTGACCTGAGGGGACTCGTAGATGGCGATACCGGCGGCGACGATAACGGACGCGGCGATTATGAGGCCTGATGTGAAGGGGTGGTTAGGACGGTGCGGCGGGGTTTGAGTGTTGCCTTGCGGAGATGCGAAGCGCGGGCCGGTGCCTGCAAGCAGGTTGGCATAGGGAAGTACAGTAGACAGCAGAGGAATACGCGACAAGAGAAATAACGTTGGATATGCTGGGGACACCGCAGCAACATGCATAAGTGGAGTTATCCGTACTCACCTTTGGCCAGTGGCGCAGGCATTTCTGCGGATTTTGTAGCAGCGGATGCAGTCGTGCTAGTCAAATAGATTCCCTAACAATGTGGTGGGAGTTGATAATAGGGAGGAGAATCCAGAGGCTTTTGACCTTGGAAGAAGCGTGTAAGGAGAGAAGGTTCGAGGGCTGAGAGCAATCATGGTTCGTCCGGTCCTTCGCCACTTGCACAGCCGCACATGCAGGGCCCGTGGAGCTGGGGGCTCCGGGCGGCTTTTGGTGGGGTCGCCTGCCGCCAATCTTGCTGCACATCGCCCCGCACCCGTTGGACTAACTTCATAACTGTACCCCTGGAACAGCATAATTCACTCATAGCTGCGCATATCTGTAGACTCGATGAAGTCATTATAAAGTGGGCTGAGTATCACCAAGGTCTACACGTCTACATCATGTTGGCAAGTCACTGCACGAAAAGTTTGTGTCAACTTGAAGATTACACGCAGAAAGTATCAATTAGAATAGTCAGGTGGTTTTAACTGTATGCAGCAACGCAAGATCGCAACGCACGCTGAACACAAAAGAGCCACCTGTAGTCCTCAGACCAGGTCTACCATCCGGGACCGATGCTGTGTAGACGAAGTAGCTTCTAAAATCAATGAAAGAAGCCTTGGTCAAGAGCTTGGAGCTCAGGCACACAGCCTTGATCATTGCTGATATGCGAGAAGGCTTGCGCTATCGAGCTTGACTGTGGGACTAGAATGCATAAAGACTGAAACAAAACTTTTCGAGAAGGAAGATAAGCAGAGGGGATCGGGGAGTAAGGAAAATAAGGATGAAGAACACGGAGAGAAAAGACCATCAGCTAATGGCGAGCAGTCTTGGATGGCATAGCCAGGTCAAGATACGAAAGAGGTCCGTCAATCTCCTCGTTGAAGTGAACTGGGGCCTTCTGCTGACCACAAGCAGAACAGCAGCCTGTAGCACTGTCTGCCTGCTCCGACGTATCTGGAGTGTAATCGGGATCATACGGGTTGTGGTTTCGCTTGACCTTTGGGGTACTCTTGGCCTTCTCGCCCTTGTACGTGGAGATGATGATGGTCTTGCGGCGCTTTCGCGAGGGTCCTTCGTGATGTTGGTCGCGTTCTTCATCGGAGACCTTGCGCTTGTTTCCTCCGTAAGTCTCCAAGAAGCAGGCAGTACGGTACAGTCTAGGGTCAAGGCGCCACTTGCTCGTGTTCTGGTCGAAGATCCAAGGATTAGGACTGTCGATGCTCCGAATGATTCGCACATCTGGTTCCTTGTGCAGCCGAACGCCATCCCAGGGCATAATACGAGTGACGTGTTCCTTTCGAATGAATCCACATGCAAGCCATTCGTAGGCGTGACCTTTTGCGCATATTGTATCCCATCTACGGACCTTGGGTAGAATGATCTTCATGTCGCTGGCGCGGATCTCGGATATTGACAACCACATATCTGCGCCAGATGCTGCCAGTTGTTGCGAAGTTATGGCGGAGCGATCTTTTGGTACACCGGTATCCCGTATCCATACCGGGGTGATGATGTTGTGTATCTTCGTAGCGGTTTCGATTACGTCTGGGTGCCAACGTCGCGTGGTTGTAACTGTCACCGTAGTCTCCATTTGAGACCGTACAGTTCCAGCGATCATGCCATCGCTACTTATGCGAGCAATCGATACACACATGCCGATCCTCTTGCTGTCGTCATAGTGAAACCCTGCTCTTCGTATAGCATGACCTGACGAAGTTAGTACTCGATCAGGATGCATGGCTAGTACAAGACTTACTCAGATCGTCGAACGCGGAGATGTACGAGGTGGGTTCGATCTTCTTGTTCCAGACGAGCTGGCGCTCAATACGTTCTCTTGTCAGATCATCTTCCAGGACAAACGATCCGATCGACTGGAAGCCCATTCCCTCGCTGATTTTCAGATCTGGAAACTCGCGATGTTTGGGGTGCGTGTCTATGTCGACCCAGCGACAGTAAGTCTGGGAGGTCTCGTAGTATGTGCGGTGGAGGCTGGAAGGCAATCTACCACTGCTGGCACGAACTAGTTCATCGGTCTGGTCAAACGTTCTGTGAATTGTTAGCAAGGGAATCTGAGATTGTCAAGAGGTACATACATTACAGGGTTTAGCAACTTCGATGTAATTTCCCTGGTCTGGTTGTCTTCCAGCTTGGGTAACACATTTTCGATATTATCAGGCCAGACCTTGTCGATGTCACCGAACGCTGAAACTCGCAGCTTGGCCAGTCGAGCGTGATCTGCAAGCTGTTGTGCCGTCGGGATGATGACTGCAGTATCAGCTGCACCAGATGTAGATGAGACCATGACGAAAGGAAGATGTGTGGAAGGATCAGAGTGATGAAGTTGGGAAATTAGGAGAGGAAGGAGTGGGATCTCGAACACGTGTAGTATCCAATCGAGTCTGCCGAAGAAGGGAATAGTTGGTGGTGTAGAGATGGTTACAGGAAGTACAAGAGCTTCATTATATACCTGTATCCCAGGATGCTAGATGATACCAGGTGAGAGAGGAGCGACAGAGCAACTGTCCTGAGATAGTAAAGGAGGTCCATACGGGAGGCAAATAGCTCGTCAGATCACAGGTGAGTCCCCCTTCCGGTGCGAAACTGGTAAGACCGTAGAGGATTAGAGTGAGGGTAAATCTGCAAAAGGATGGCATAAGTCAAGTATTTGTGATCCTATAGCCATGCAAGACGAGAATGTCTTGATTCTGGTAGACTATCAAGTCGGAGTTGATGAATACATTACTTTGATGGATAACCATACGATGATGAGCGGTGGACTGTGATGGCTGCATGGCTACACCAGATCTTATGCCTAGGGCTACTAATGAACATTAACGACGACAAAAAATGATGTGTGGCGGGTTGATGTGATGGTCAGGCTCTAATCGTAGTCAAAAACGTCGTTCGTGATGTTGTGAGATGCAGGTCAGGCTCGCTGTGGCTGGCACACCTTCCGCCAAGACCTCGGCGCGCCTGATTGGCGGTCGCAACCGCGTCTCAGCGAGCTGCCACTTGCGACACGCAGCATTCCGAGGTCGCACCACCACATTTCTAGAGATCGTGATCGGACAGCGCTTCCGACAGCTGCAATGAGTTCCTCTATAGAAACCGAGATTCTGAACAAGTACAATCTCACGACATTGTACCCCGCAACCTGGCCGCAGGAGAAGGACGAAGCCGACGAAGAGGATACGTTCGACGAGCCCATACCCAAAGCCACGAAACAATCGATACGGCGGTCCAAATCACGATACTCAGTGCTAGAGCCCAGTGCAAGATTCTCGCGGCAGGTTCCGGGAGCAGAGCGCTCGAAAGATGGCGTGGAGACTTTGGTCCAAAAGGACGAACAGGACCCATTGGGCATGTACCCTAGTGTAGTGCAGGTGCTGCGGGCGAAGAACATACAGGTCGAGGATGACATCAAGCTGCGTACGTTTCAGCAACATAGCAATACACACAAGGCCTGTCTAATGGACACACAGGCAATCGCTTCCTCTTGAGCTCCACCACCTTCTCGCCCTCCCTCTTCCTCTCGCAAGTCCACAATGAAGCCTCCACCGACTCCCTCCTCGCCGGCCTTGACTTCCTTTCCCGGTCGATCGAGAAGAAGTCTGCTTCGCTCAAGGTGCTTGTCGAATCCAACTTCGATCGCTTCGTAGGCGCGAAAGCTACAATCGACCGTGTATACAATGAGATGCGGGACCAAGGGAAGGAGCAGGTGGAAGCGCCCAACAAGGATCTTCAACCCGGCACCGGTAGACCCAGGGCTCGATCGAGCTTCTCGGGACGCAAGACAAGCGCATCTCTCACACCAGGCATGGTTGACGCGGTGCCTGCCGAGAAGAGGAAGAATGCGCTCGTTAAGGAGAGCGAATACGGTGTTCATGGCATCAAGGTCCCGCTGACCGAAGTCGCTGTCAAGGCGGAAGAAGTCTGGGGCCCGGCGCTAAACGGACGGGAGCGGGAAGAGACGTTGAAGTCCATCATGGAGTCTGTGGAGCACCATCGAGGTCTGTTTGAAGTTGGATCAGCCATTCAAGATGCAATACGCCGGAAGGACCACGAAACGATCACCGAAGAATACAAGCGCGCGAGGAAATACGCAGACGAAGCCCGATACATTGTAGAACAGGCCACGTCTACTCAGAGGCCGCTGACTGATGCCGAGATACATCAAGTCATTGTGACGGCTAGGATGTGGTCAGACGTCGAGCGGCAGATTGAGCGTTTCAAGCGCGAATCCTGGAAACGCCTGACCGCAGCGCACTTCACGCACCTACAGACTGGAACCGAAGACACTAAGTCGGACGAGTATCTGAGCATCATCTCAATCATGCTCGAGCTGGGTGTGGAGGAGAACCCGATTTGGGTGTGGTTGCTCTCACGCTACGAACACCTTAAATTCCAACTCAACTCCAAGTGCCAACATTCGCTCGTCGAGATCGAGATCCTTCGCCGCCATTTGGCGAACGGCGAGAAGCCGAGCATGCGAATGCTGCAAAAGCATCTCCGCTCAGTCCCTACCAGCAGCAACGTCAGCGCTGAGCCCTCTAAGCTTGACACCCCGAAGGTGACCGAGTTCTGGGAACACGTGTATGCATCGATGACCACCCTACTCTCAAACAAGTCCGGGTTGCTTGCTGAACTAGTTGAATACTGGGAGATTGTCCAGTCGTTCCTCTCCGGTCGCGCGCAACGGAACTTACCAACAGGCCATCACAATCAATCGTCTGTTCACCACCGGCTCAGTAGTGAGAACAAAGCTGAGCTTGAGAGAGGTACGACCGAACTTATCAGTATCCTGCGGGACCATCTGTTCTCGTTCTTCTCAGACCCTCCAATTGAGGATGTGTCCATGCTCATGTCACCACTGCCTATGAGCCCGACACCAACCACACCAGGAACACCACTGAGCGCAGCATTGAGCCCCATGTCAGCATCGAGGTCTAGGTTCGATCCTGCGAAAGCACCTCCACCGTCTCCCAGTCGTGGCGAATCCTGGGAGAAGTATGCTTTCTGGCCGCCTAACGCGAATGCGCTTTCTGGGTCCCATTATTTGTCCAAGATGCTTGTCCTTATTGGCACCGCAGCCAACGAACTGGCATCGCTTCAAGTTCCCGAGTCAGGAGGCAGCGGACGCATTGACGAAGCACTGCGCTTGCTCCTTGGCGGTGTGCGCGAGCGTTGCATCCAAGCTGTATGTGCAGCTTGGAACACAGATGCCGAGAAGTTGAAGGTATTGGAAGACTGGACTCGTCATGTCGACCGCAAGGACACCACGAATCTACCTCAGCGATTCCTAGCAGTACAAAGCTTCTTGCTGAACAACCTGCAAAAGATACTGTATGTTGAGGCATCGAGCAAGACGAGAGTGGACGTCGTTGTACCACCAAGCAACAAGCTGCTGCAGATGGTTAGAAGTCAGTTCGTCACCAGCTTGTACAGGACGCTAAGCGGGATGGTTGAATGCGCGGAGCGAGGCAGACAAGCTTTGGGTGCTGAATTCGAGATCAAGAGTGATGATCTGACCATCGACGAGCAAGACGATCAGAATGGCAACGACTGGGGCAGGGTCGATGCCAACAAGAAGGTAAGCTACATCAACTATGACCTCGCATCCTCTACTAATAAACATCAGTCCATCCGCCTCCTCCTGACCCTCGCCAACATGTCCGCCTTCCAATCCGAAATAACCCCCCAACTCCTCACCCTCTTCGAAACCCTCTTCAGCGTCCAACTAACCGACGAAACAAACCGCATCCGCGACGTCCTCTCCCAACTCGACGCCCAGCTCTTCCGCTCCTACACAAAACCCCACGCCACGAAAATCCACTCTACAATCGAATCCGGCATCTTCAGCCCCACCTGGGCACCTCCCCCCGACAACCGCAAAAGCGTCGCAGACCGCGATCCAAGCCCCTACGTCTTCACCGTCCTCTTGGACCTCGTCATCGTGCACACCGAGTCATCTACAACATCCGCACCCCTAACCCCACGTATCCTCCGCTCCCTATTCGAAGCCACAACAACCTCCCTCATAACGACCTTCCAATCCGCCAACCTCCCCACTATCTCCCTCCCGCAACTCATGCAAGCGACCCTCGACGTGGAGTTCATGGCACAGACGCTTGCTTCGTACACCACAGAGAAGGCTTCGCAGATCCAGACGGATATCTACCAGGTGCTGGATCAGAAGACGGATAATGCGGCGAGAGTGAGGCTGCAGGAGGAACTGGGGAGCTTGAGGGTGAGTTTGAAGAGGTTGAGGGAGGGGACTAAGGTGCAGTTTGCTTGCTTTAGGAGGGTTAAGAGGGGGACGCTTGCGGGTGGTGGGGGTGCTGGTGGGGCGGAGGAGGAGAGGAGGGGGAGGTAGGATGGGTCGTGGTCATTAGGTTGACGGGGAGATTGGTATGTGATAGGAAATTTATTCAAGATTGTTGATAACGTTATGGAAGCTGTGCATGTGAGTATAAAATCTGCCTTTCCGTGCCGCTTCCTCAACGATGCTTCCTACACTTTCTTCAACATCCGCCTCAGCATAAAGTATCCAAATATCCATCCCCCGCACACACTCCAACATGCCCCTCACCAACACACCCACAGCCTCACCTCGCTCCGCCGTCGAAGCCGCCCTCGACCTCTTCTTCCGCGCGCGCCACGACCCCTCAATACCACTTTCCGCCTGGGATGACCTCTTCGACACCTTTGATGAGCAACAACGTGAGCAGCTCGAGGATGCAACGTGCGACCTGCGACGCAATTGGCCGAGGCATGTACCTTATCCTAACCTCGTTGGGTTTGTGAGGTGGCAGGTGGAGAAGGCGGAGAGGAGGGACAAGGAGCTTGACAGGAGGGAGAAGGAGGATGAGAGGAGGGAGAAGGAGGATGAGCGGAGAGAGGAGGAGGATGAGAGGAGGGGGGAGGAGGATGAGAGGAGGGAGAGGGAGGTGAGGGAGGAGGAGGAGGCTAGAGCGATGTCGGAGAAGGAAGGGAACTGACGGATATGTGCGAAGATGGGACGAGGGGATGTTGAATGAAGTTATGGATCGAACAATGCCTTTTGCGGAGGGGGAGGGGGCAGGGTCAGTGCATGAAGAGTCTGGGGGTATCTGTGAGTGTAAATGTTCTTGATAAAGCACGATTCTATCGCTTCGAAGTGGCGCTATGCTCACAGCGACACATATATCTACAAGTAAACGCCGCTGAATGCATCTTATCTATAAACCTCCAAGTCCGTATTCTCATTCATGCTCTGGTCTTTCCCTTCCCTTTGCTCTATTCTTACAAATCGTACAAATACGTCTATTCACACATCTCCGCCGCCAGACAGCGGATGTTGCTCGAAATACCTTAGTAGCGTTTGATACAGTACCAACATGGTCCCTGATTGCACACTCGTCCAGACAGCGCGCGGTCCGACGCCTCTGAACCACCCGGCTATTCCTTCTGTTTTGTATATTATTCTCAGGCCGGTCATGACGGATGATGTGTCGAGAGTGGCGGCGCCGTAGGCTTTGAGGGTTGTGGAAGGGGAAGATGTGGAGATCGGTCTACTTTGCGTCGATTTCGTCTTAGCTGTTTGCGAGGGGGTGGAGTGTTTCGAGGTCGCGGCTGGCGAGAGTGGTGCTTTAGGTGGAGGTGGAGAGGCGGGAGACGGGCCGTTGTGTTGGGTTTGAATGCGCGTCTTGACTACGTCGAGAGGGGTTGTTATGACGCCTGCCATGCCGCCTGCGGTCGCTGCAGTTGCGATTTCTAGCGGCAGTCCGATGTTGTTTGAGCCCATGTACTTCTTCGCCCAGTCCCGCTCTTCTTCGTAAAAGGCAAATTGTAGTGCTGAGAAGGGGAGGTCGCGCCAGAGCGTGGCCTTGTAGCCGTGAAAGAGGGCGCTGTAACCTTCAACTCTGGCTATTGTTCGCGCGGCATCGATGGTGCCGCGGTAGTTGTAGCCTGAATTGAAGTAGGGGTTGTTGTACCGGCCTTGTAATTGGAGGCGAGTCTTGAGGACTTCAGAGGGGACGTATGCGGGGGCAGCAGCGAGATCAGCGAGCAGACCTAGAAGTTCGTCAGTACGTGGTGGAACGGTATTGATCTGTAGGGAGGTGTACCGGCTGAGAAGTATGCGACTGAGGGTGCAACCCCATAGTCAATCATGGTCCGTTTGGTCCACTCGTATGCTCCGAAGAAGCACACAGTGCCCGAGAACGATCCAAGAAATGCTGGCTTCACTCCTCCGTACAATCCTTTCCGGAAGCCTTCTTGCCGCCATATGGTGTAGTATGTGTTGCCCATGGATGTGTACTTGGGTGGCATGTGCGGGTCGCCCTGCTGTCGCGTCTTGACCGTATCCAGCGAATGCATCAACATGTCGCCTGTGGTGCCTCCTATTCCTCCTGCCAGCATTGCCTGTTTGTGATCAATTGGCATCCCTCATCTCTGCAGACTAGGCATCCTCACATGTAGGTATGGCGGCCGCGCTGCTTCCTCGTCTACCTCGTCCTCCATTGCTGCCCGCTTGGTATCCTCCATGGGCAGTTCCACTGCGTGTGTTGTGCTTGGGCCATGTCTCCGGCTACCGTCGGTCAGGTTGGTGGTAGAGTCTCCGTTTGTGAAGAAGTTGGCCACGCGGGCAAGTACCATGAGCGCTTGGGTGGCAGCGGTGCACTGGGAGTGTATCTGCGGGTGTTGTAGTGAAGAAAGTCGAGTATAGAGAAGTTTGATATGTGCAAGGGTGTCTTCAAAGAGTGACGTTGCTGCCGCTGCGGCCGTGCGATGATGTTGCGTCTGGAAAATTTCGGCCAAGACCGGAGCTGCGCAGCCACATCCCTGCAAGCCCTGGCTATCAGCTATCAGAAGCACGGGGACCAGACGACGGCTTGATGCAGTTAAGACTACCTGGGCTATACCTACGCGAATGCCACCAAAACGACTGCAGACAACGCATCTTGCTCAGAGACAGCGTGGTGTTGCTGCAGATCAATGTATTTCGTAGGCTAAGCCCTGCAACAGTTAGCGCCCAGATGACCCACGTGAGCCCCAGCCATCGTGTTTACATCCAGAGTCTCTCTGCATCCGATCAACACCACACCGCCCCCACCTTTTTCGCCCACGACGCTTTTTCTGCTTGCATTCTTGATTCATTTTGATCGCACGCTTTACGCGACCTGATCTATACCACTCACCATGTCCCACTCTTGGCTTCAGAGGAAGCGCAAAGCTGACTTGATCGACCTTGCGCAGAAGGCTAGACTTCCCGAGTAGGCTGAAATTGATCCTGCGCGTGTATGCGGTACTAACAAGTCGTTTGCAGTGCAGATGGCCTCTTGAAAGATGATCTCGTGGACCTGCTTGAGAGCCATCTCAACTCCAACGAGAGCACCTTTGCCAAACTCCCCGAGTTTAGCGACTACTATGGGCGCAATGGGTCGCCAGTAAAGCGCGAAAAGTCTTCGCCGGAACCCTTCATTACGAAGACGACGCGCCGCCGCACTCTTAACAAGGACCCTTCGTATGTCAAACTTGGATACGCGACGCGCCACGCGCTGAGGCTAACAGACGCGCAGTCCAGAGTCCACCCCCATCATTACACCAGAAATCCGTAGCGTTGTCGCGCGCACACCAAAGCCGAGATCCGTCTCCCGACGTGTTTCCGAGATGGTTGCTGAAGCCGAACCCAAGGCAGTCTCGCGTCGCGTTTCCGAGGTGGTCGCTCAAGCCGAACCCAAGGCCGTCTCTCGTCGCGTTTCCGAACTGTACAATCAAGTGGACATTCCCGCATCGCCTGCCCAACTCGCTGAGGTCGCCGACCAGTCCTTCCAAGTAGTCCAGACAAAGGCTGTCGAGCTGTGGGACAGGACCAGGATCGATGAGCTGAAGGAGTTCGTTCGCGAAAACGCAAGCTCGGTCGCTACCATCCAAACCATCATCCTGCTCGTCGAAGCTGTAGGACTACAGTACAACACTCTCGACACTACTCCATTATTCGCTACACCCGCCGCCTTGGGCTCATACACGAGCAGCCAAGACGTTCGAGGACCAAATTTCTGGGCGCTGCTTTCAGCCGAGTGGTGGGCACCAGCTACCCTCTGGTCGCTTACGAGCTGGGTGCTACCGCTGATGTTCTCCTACTTCTTCAACTTGACCCTCCGTTCCAACACCTCGCGAAAGTCTTCCGAGCGCCAATATCCTGCTGACCCGCTCATTTTCAACATTGCGCGGGCAGTCTTGTCGTACAATGCCTACCGGGAAACTGTCAACATGGCATTCGCGCCAAGCGCATGGGGTCCCTTCTCCGAGTACGCGGTTGCGCGCGTAGGAAACAACGTCCCGGGAGGATACTACGGGTTGCAAATTGGCTCGCTGGTTGGCATACTTGTCAGCCTCTACGACGCCGCGTTGAAGAAGTAGATACTTGGGTTAGAACGCGGAATGTGACTGGGTCTGAGGACGTGAATCTGGTGATACCTGTATGTTCATTGGCGTTTGGATATACGATACCTTCCACCCTGGCGAGCTGGACACACTTTGCATCTGGATGCGGAGTTCGAGACCGGCGTTTATCGGAATGTCTGTTTCATTGGAGCTGCTACGCTTCATCGTTACCCAATATACACATATGTCAAAAATGGTGCCCTAACTTGATTGCCTTTGAGAAGTAGTGATCCGGGTGCAGACAAGACGCTCCAAATAACTTCAGCTGTTAGACCAGCCGCCATTGCGCGTTGTGGATGAAACACGTGAAGTCGCGTGTGCTATCGATAGCTCCAAGCGCGAAAGGGCCACGCCGTCACCCCTCCGTCCCAACATCCTGCCATCCAACATCACTCTTACACGACTGCACCCACACAAACTTTACTCCAATCTACCAATTGAACAACATACAACATGTCGGCTCAATTCATGCAAATGTTGCAGAATATGCAAGGGCGGTCAAGCCGGTATTTAGCGCAACACCTTTGAAGCTCCAATGAGTTGCTAATGTGCAATGTCAAGTACCGTGGAAGACATGATCAATTCCGATGACCAGCTCGCTGGCATGGACGGCATGGAACTTCGCGGTTGGAGCCACAACAACCCCACGGTGCCCAGCCGTGACCTCAAGGACCCAGTCGGCCAGACCCTCCTCGCTATATTCAATCAAGAATTCGACGCACTACAAAACTACGTGGAGATGATGATCAAACAGCTCGGAGGCACCGAGGAAGCTCGCGAGACGCTCAGGAAGGATCTCTTCGCCAAACGATGGGGCCCCACGAAAACACCCATCTACAATGTACTCTTGCCAGCGCTGCACATGATGCCAAACAAGAAGCAAGAATTACTGGGCGTCGTGAAGTATCTAGCCAATGATCTCAAAGTGCCAGTTGATGGCAAGGACGTCGTGGGCAGCACCGCCCTCTTCTGGGCTATATCCACAAAACCCTACGTGCAACCCGAATTCGCGCAGATCCTCTTCGACGCTGGCGGTTCCGTCAACACGAAGAACCGCTTCGGTGCTACCCCTGGTTCAGAGATCGCCCAAGCCGACATCCACGGCGACACGAGCAAGAACGTGCAGATGCTCAAGTGGTACGTGGAGCATGGCGGTGATGTCGACAGCAAGGACACGGATGGTATGAGTATCAAGACGTTGGTCGAGATGATGAACATGAAGGTGCCGGCTATGGCTGCGGTTCTCAAGAAAGGAAGGGGACCGAGGAAAGAGGGGGATTGCACGAACTGCGGGAGGAGCCCGAAGGATGGCAAGGTCTTCTCGGCTTGTGGCAAGTGTAAAAAGGCGAGGTATTGTTCACAGGAGTGTCAGAAGGTGGATTGGAAGGGGCATAAGAAGATTTGTAAGGCGACGTAGGGCAGGGTGGAAATGTGGTAGTGGGAGACGTGAGGAGAGACGGTACTGGAGATGAGAGTGCCGCGTGGAAGAGTTGGGTGACCATCAAAGCCGACCATGGCTAAAGTCTGGCTTCCTGGCTTCTGCAGGCGATAGGTCATGAAACCAGCTATGCATATACGGGTCGTTCACCGGCAAGACCGGCCCAAGCGGCGCTGACAGAGAAGACGAAGCAAATACAGTGTTTCGATAGCACGCGACACAAGAAGTTGTCTACGGAATGAGCGTGCGCGAAACGACTGATGCGCATTCGGCTGGTCTGGTAGTTGGCGGGACGAAATGCACGTCAGATATCCATTCGAGGTGTATACACTTTAATCCTCTTCACTTCCTCGCGGTCTCTACAACATTTCCTTCGAGCTTTTATCAAAAGCTGAATATGGTTAAAGAGTTGGGTGGGGCGCGGGGACACGCGAGCATGCATGCACGACGATTACTTGACGTCACTCGTAATACATTGACCGCCATCTCAAAAACGACTATGTCCATCTGAAGCAGTCCCTGACACAGGATCATCGTCCTCAAGAACTCACTTCGCTACTAATCAACCCTTCAAAATGAGGCTAAATCCCAACGGCGACGCATCAACCTTCCCCAAACGTTCAGCCTTACCACACATCGCCGGCACCCCAAAAGACAATGCGTGGTTCTGGGGCGGCCACGATGAACTCGGTCGCCTGAATCTCCTCACCCCGGAGCGAACAGTAAAAGCCACACAAGAAAACGTCAAAACAGGAGAAGCAGTCTCACTAGACCTCCCCTTAAACGTCCCCAGCCCAGCCTTCTTCGGACGAAAAGGCCTAAAACACCGCATCAAGACCATTGCCCCAGGCGCCTTCGACGACGAATTAGCATTCAACACGCAAAGCAGTTCGCAATGGGACGGCTTCCGTCACTTCGCACATCCAAAGTATGAATGCCACTACAACGGCGTTCTCTCAGATGAAATCATGGCGGATGTAGACGACGACGGCGAAGACGGCGACGCAGCACCTGAGCGCTCACGTAAACTCGGTATAGACGCCTGGGCCAAAAAGGGTATCATTGGCCGGGGCGTCCTCCTCGACGTGTACTCCTGGGCACAGAAAACGGGAAAGGAATACGACACTTTTACCAACCACGCCATCACAGCAGACGATCTGCTTGCATGTGCTCAATCCCAAGGCACATCCTTCCAAACCGGCGACATCCTCCTCATCCGCACCGGCTGGCTCTCCACCTACACTTCCCTCTCCCCAACACAAAAGGCCGAACGCAGCACCATGGCCATTGACCAACATTTCTACGCCGGTCTCGCCGCCGACGACGCCATGAAAGACTTTCTGTACGACAACTACTTCGCGGCTGCTGCGACTGATAATGCGAATTTCGAGGCTTGGCCGCCGGAAAGCTTTGAGCGGAGCTTGCATGCGTGTATGTTGAGTATGTGGGGGATGCCGATTGGCGAGCTGTGGGATCTGGAGGGGTTGGCGGAGATGTGCAAGGGGAGGGGGAGGTGGGAGTTTTTGGTTGTGAGTAAACCGGTGAATGTGCCGGGGGGTGTGGGGAGTTTGCCTAATGCTGTTGCTATGTTCTGAGGGAGATGTGAAGGGGTGAGGATTGGTGGTTCGATACCCAGTTTGGAGAATTTAGTGTCATTTGTTCCTTTCTTGCGCGTCGCGTCAACTTTGATCTGATCAAATGACTTCCACCTGCATCGTCTTAGTACATGGCACGCGATTTTATGAAGGAGCTCGTTGGTATTAACGCCTAAGGGCTACGTCGAATCTGGCGTCAAGAGCAAAAGAGTCCTTTCGTAATGCTCGACTCCTGCGCAAGCCGGAGAACAACAAAACTTCATCGGCGACTCCGCATCCCGCAAATACAGATTCATCAAGCTAGAAACTTCAGCACTCTATCTAGGTTCGTCTTTGTGTCCGTGGTCTACATCTCTAGCCTCGACCTCGGTCTGGGCTGCGGCGGATCCCCTGGACTAACCCCGGATTCTACCTCCCGCTCTTAGCGCTAGCCGCATACACACGATGCGGCGCATCACCGGTGCTTTTTTGAGAAGAGCATTAAGCCTCAGACCTAAAAGGTATCATGAGGCTGAATATTCGAAGCTGAAGTTCTCGAAGACTCTTGATGGGCGCATTCGAGTTCCATCTCAATGACCAGCCCGGACCAAGGCCAGGCCCTGTCGAGTCGGAGGCGTACTCCATCGTTGTTGATGGGCGCATCGCTTTCTCGCTGGGCACTTTTCGCTCGCGTCCAGACCGTGAGAAGTGACAGTGATCGTGTATAAAGCTGTTAAGCGCGCTGCTTGTCTGATCAACCAGACTCGCTTTCTATTCTCTTGATAACTACACTTCAAGATGGCACCTGCCCTTCGCGCAATTGCGCTTGCATTGCGAGCAGTCTCGTCGACTTGCCCGTCATCACCCACCTGCCCCCAGGACGACCAATGCTCGCTCACCTTGAATGGAGCTACTCTTCAAGTCAGCTGTGCGACTGACTACTATGGCGGCGATTTGCAATTGGCACAGGTAAGCATGACTCCACAGTAAGCTGTCTTGAATTCAGCGCTCATCGCTTCCTAGACATCATCCCTGGCAAGCTGCATCCGGGTATGCTCCACGACCACGGGATGCAATGCTGCAAGTTACGTGGATGGTAACTGCTACCTCAAAAGCACGCTCAATGCGGCTCAGCCCAAGTATGCTATCCCTACTTTGTAATTGACTTCCAATTAACTCAGTCATTAGTGCCAACGTAATCGGAGTAGCTGTGATCTCAAGAGATGCTACAACAACGCCTACTCCAGCGCCGGATGCCCCCACACAGTGTCCTGCCAGTTTTACCTGCCCGGAAAATAACGGCTGCTCTTACACTGATGGCTCGCGCACTCTGACACTTAGTTGCGGAGTTGACTTCTACGGAGGTGATTTCGCCAACCAGTACGCAGCAAATCTCCAAGCTTGCACGCAAGCTTGCGCAGGCGATGCGCAGTGCGTGGCCGCTTCGTTCGTTGGTGGCAAACGTGATGGTACCTGCTATCTCAAGAGCACAAAGAACGGTGGTTCTTCGAATGACGGTGTTGATGGTATGTGAACTGAGCTGAGTTGCGTAACTTTTGCTGATCAACAAAAGCTGTCTACATTGTCTCCAACACCGTGCAGCCGAGCAGTTCGTCAACGAGTTCGACCCCGTCGCCCTCTTCGATTGTTGAAACGACGACTACCTCATCTTCGACTAGCACAGATGCTATTGTCAGCTCTACCTCGACTTCGTCCAGTACATCGACCTCAACTGAGACCAGTACCGAGACCAGCACCTCGACCGAGACTTTGACCCCCACACCTACGCCTACGCCTACTCCCACTCCTACACCCACACCCACCCCAACGCCGGAGCCACAACCTACCTGTGGCGTTACCGGTAGTCCAAGACCGGGCGTTGTCTACACCAACATCGCCGGGCAGACACAGGCCACTTGCAAGATCAGGTGTCAGAACTATAATCTCGCAGGCCGTACCTGCCGTGTCTATGCTTTCAACCCCGCAACTAGGGTTTGCACGTTAGCGTTGGGCTTCACTGCTCCGACATTTGAGCAGGCTTTTACTCCTGGTAGCAATGGGTTCTACACATGGTACGCTGTGGAATGCCCGGTGTAAGAAGTGTGGCTTGATGTAACTATTGTGGGATGGTGTATTTCAGTAGACCAAGTTGAATGCATATTCAGACGTTTAGTCTAGATCTAATCCAACGTGTCGTTCATATACACCCTCCTCCTATAATACAATCACCTGGTTGTCGACTACATACCTCTCTTTCAAAGCGAAAACCCAAGCAGTGTATGATGGCAAACACATCCCCAGTAGCCGTCATGATGCCGTGATAAGCCATGTACCCAGGAGGTATTCGCATGTAAAGTCCACAGCTTTCGACATCACAACAACCAACGTATCCCTCAAGACTGGTGATGGCTATATCGCCCTCCAAGTAGCCTTTTACCGGCTTCATGAAACATCTCACCGACCAGAGGAACTTGTGAGAAGACTCATCGGATTTGGGCGTGAAACCCAGCAGCTCTTGCCATATCTCAACGTCCGCCCGCAACCCTTCGTTGCGGCCGAAGAAGGCATTGTAAGAGAGTTAGGTTGATCATTTGTGATGCTAGGCTTATAAAGACGGCGCTAGCGTTGGAAAGCGTTGGATTGCGGTGAGAGTGGTCAGCCTTCAAATTATATGCCCGGGAGGTATTCGCACCCAGATAATGAGCTATTTGAAGCTTAACGCGAGCATGTATGCCGCAACACCATTTTCCTTAGATTCCTTTACCAATCCGGGGATTAAGCTTATTGATAGCAAAATGAGCACTACGACAGAAAGCGGTAGCGTCAAATGATATCGACAATGGGACATGTTTCCGACAATACGCCTAGGCGTATACATGTGAGGAAACACCCTCTCTCCAACGTCAAGTCGTACTTGTATTCTTCAATTTGAGTATTGGCTAATTTTGCTCTCCGTTAGCATTGTATCCAGCTTGGATACCAGGTGAGCATGTCGTGTCTTTGAAGCGGCATGACTTAAGTTGATGGATGGTTTGTAGTCGGCGATCGACCTGTCACATAGCTGGTAGAAGCATGTCTTGATGGGAGTGGCCAAGCATGGGTCGCCGTCACAGCGCAGACATACCAGAGCTACTACTACTAAATAACGGATGACGTAGTTGTGTGGGAGCGTATGTGAAGCTGCTGTGGAAGACGTCGTCGATATTTCTATGTGAGGATCAGGCATTTCTAATCCGTTTAGCACTAGAAAGATGATGATAGTAATGATAATGATAATAGCCACATGCGAAGTTGGTCTGTGCCAAGACTTACCCCGGATTTTGAGCCGCGTGCTTTAGCGCGTGCGCAGCTCAGGCCCTTGTGTCTTGATCATCGCCGTGCAGCATCATCTTCCATACCATCCGCCCTTTCGACCAAAGCTCACTACGTTGATGCCCGTATCGCTATCGTCATCCACAACCACCACCATCTCGCGAACGAAGCTAGTCTGAGGCTGGGCACCCTACGGATTGGGCATTGTCACAAAGCTTGAAAGAAGAGAAGATGCTTATGATGGGGCCGCAGGGAACACCGTCACGTCGAACACAGAAGCTGGTGTAATCATCGAGACGACTGCAATGGGACTCATGGGAGTAGGAGTCATACCGAAGAAGGAGTCTTCAGGGACGTTCGGGACGTAGCAAGTGGTGCGCGTCCGTTCGAACACTCAGCTGCGCGATGGCGATACATTGACGACACAACATCCCGATCCCGCCAGCGACAGTCCAGCAGGATTGCCTGCCCATCTTTGCGCGTCCACACGTCCGCACGCCCGCGCGACGTAATTCTACCCTCGAACGTCTTCGCGGCACCCGAACAAGCCGCACAACCCTACGCGCGCCTCTACTACCTCCACTGCCTCTACGATACGCGATCGCATATACCAGACTACAACGGAAAGCCGCTGCGCCAACCTTGCACTGGTCGTACCAGGAGCAAACATCTACAGTGCGCTCGCATCGCCAGGCGGAGCAGATCCCATTCGGCATTGTTAGTGCCCAGGTCTTCGTTAGCTTCCTGCTTTCTGCTGCTGCAGGTACAGAGCATCACACGATGCGTGGCCGGTCGAGGATTAAACACTAGGCTTTTTGCCTCCTCTGCTAGCGACTGCGTGGAGTATTACCAAGGATCAATCACACGGCTTCTCCCGTTATCCGTCATCAAGTCGCTGAAATAGGCCACCTTTCTGGACCTACACGCTCATATCTAGCCCAACTACTTTTACTTTTGTCGGCGGACTCTACAACCAGGCACTTGTCGACAGGAAGTACCACCACCTTCGTAGATCCTTCCTACGGAGGCCTCATGATCAGCTTCCTCATGCTGTCCTTCAACGGACTACGCCAGCTACACTTCGAGTGCAGCAACTGCATCAAGATCGATGTCGATGGCATCATCAACCACGGAGAGACCCTTACGAATCTACTTGTCGTCAACGGAAGTATCCACCGGCAAGATGCCACCCGGTGAGCCTGTCAGCAACCTGCATACAGGCCCCAGACCTCACCAGCCTCGAGAAGACCACTTCGAGTGCAGCAACTGCATCAAGATCGATGTCGATGGCATCATCAACCACGGAGAGACACTCACGGATCTGCTTGTCCTCAACGGAGGCATCCACCGGCAAGACGCCACGGCATCATCAACCACGAAGAGACACTCACGGATTTGCTTGTTCTCAACGGAGGCATCCACCGGCAAGATGCCACGGCATCATCAACCACGGAGAGACGCTCACGGATCTGCTCGTCCTCAACGGAGGTATCCGCTGACAATCGATGATAGAGGCTGAGACAATTGATGAAGACACTGGCACATGGATCATTTGGGTATGGTCATCAAGAGGTTCATGTTGTGAAGATGGATCTGAGAGCAGTACGGATATATATCTATAGATTGATACTTGTTACAATGCACGAGTCGTTGTATACACGTATCATTCTTTGTCCAAGCTAAATCTCCCCATCACTCGTCCTCAAACAACCACACACCTGAAATATCCTCGACCACAAAACCAACATCCGAACGCTGATCGCTCCCGATTTCGCTACCAGCCCCAGAAAAAAAAACAATCCCGAAAGGCAATGAAGCTACTATACAAGATGCGTTCTGCTTTGGCCAGCCTCCAGAAATGATTCTGGAGCTGTTTCCGGGCAACACCGAGAGTACGAAGACTCTACACGGGGAGGTAGCAGATCCGACTTCGTCAGCCCGTACGGTTTTTACACCGCACCGGCAAGTAGAACATATCTAGCTTGCCGAGATGTCTTGAAAAGGACGATTGTAAACATTTTTTGAGTAACGCACCGGCGAACAGAACATGACTGCTTTCCAGGACTTCCTCATCTGTGGCCATGATCGTAGCACCAGTTGCAAACCAAGTGGGCTAGCTTGGTGCATCTCCAAGGCTTTGCAAGACCGCTCGGCTCAACTTTGCGACAATGCGCGCAGCGAACCGGTTGGCCAGCATTGCGATGGGCTTTGATCTGCTCACGAAAGGCTCTCGCCGTTTCGCAAGCTGGATCGCGCTCACGACCAAACTTGCGCAGATATGCGTCACAAGCACTACAACGAACATGACCATTTGAAGCAATGTGTCTAGTCCCGTAGCCCCTGGCACTATTTGCAGCGCCACTCGCGGCTTCCACGCTTCTACAGTTATAGCAGATGACGGGTTGGCCGGCTTGACGCAGGTTACTCTTGCCAACCTCGAGGTTGTACTGAGTAGTGAGCTTGACCAGTGAAGCGTTGTCGGGCAACACTCCACGGCGTTCTCGGTAGCTGTCGCAGCGCCTGCAAAAGTATCCGCCACCCAAAGGGTTCTTGATATCAGCAAGCACGCGAGGGTGCTTAGGTCCATCCGGCATAGCCGAGCGCGGATAGGTCATCAGTTTGCACTCTGGGTTGCGGCATTCTGATGGTAGCTTGGATCCACGAGCAACGAAACCCTGACGTAAGGGTATCGCTCCATTCAGTCCCCTCCATGTGATGGCTGGAACGTCGAGACGTGCTCTGACATCCCTAGCTAACTTGTATGAAGACTGTGTGGCCCATTTGGAATAATAGCCAGGGTCATTGTAAGTTCCGAAAAACACCATAAAGGCGCTCTCCAAAACCACAAGGTATCCTTGTGGGATATCTCGCTTGAACCCAGCAAGTTTTCGGAAATTACAGTCGACATCAGCACGACACGTAGTCTTGTAATGTAGACTGCCCCGATAATGCTCGGGCAAAGCGTTGGCAGAATGTCGTCTTGCGATTTCCAGGTGCACAATGATTCGCTTCAAGAGCTCACCAGTGGACCCAACGTAAGCCTCACACCCAATTTTCGAAGCAAAAGCCAGGTTACCAGTTGGGAAATTCCCATACAGTCCCTGATCATGCTTGTCACCCTCATTCACTTTGGGAAGTGAAAGTAAGTCCTCAAGACACCATTCCTTCTTGAGGAAGAGCTCTTGAACTTCAATCGGAACAGCTTGCAAGTATAGACCAAGCAAGAATTCCACGCTAACATCCTGCAGGAGCTTCCAAACCCCGAGGGTGAATGGACGGTCTTGTTCGGACGTCGCAACGAAGTCGGAATGACTTATGCTCTTACTCCACTCGCAAAAGCCATCCAAGACGATGCGTAGTTTACGCGCAAAGTCCGGGTTGACCTCGACGTCGTCGAGTTCGAAATCTGAAGAGAGGTCATGGTTGCATATAGCATCCACGTCCTCCTCCGCGATATTAGGATCCGGGCCGGGGAAGTATTCATCTTCCTCGTCCATCTCCTCGTCTGCTTCGGGTGCTGCATCCATTGCTGCAACAACCTCCGCGATGACTTCATCCTCGTCACCCATCAGCATTTCGCTTTCAGGGGCATCAGATGCAGCGAGAGCCCGGTGAGGGGATCGCATATCCGTAGCAGAAGCCACAGCATTTGGAGTAGAGGCCGTAGCATACTCCCTCCCACGGGCAGTCGATGCTGCACCAGTGGGCGACGGGAAAGCACCTTCATCCAAGTCATCGTCCGAGTCAAAGACCACTGGACGACGCCTTCGAGAAGGCCTTGTTGGGACAGAGCTTGAGGGCTCGTCATCGGGGGCATCCCTCTTGCTAGTCACTTTCACAAACGACGTGAGTGTCGATTGTGCGAGTGGGCGAGGCATGTTTGTAGGTCCGTGCTTACGTCTGATAGACTGAGTGCGACTGCGATGATGTTAGCTGGTATCTTCAGGCGGGAGGCATACTTACGAAACTACAGGTGTTTGATGAAGGAAGAAGGACGCGTTCGCTCAGGTCAAGCATCGTTGAGCAAGGTCTGCCGCCGCTCCTGCTCCGAGGGAAGTCGCGCTGACCCCAATTGGGACGAGAAGCTACAACGGGCAGGCACGCTCGACCAGAACAAGGAAGGAAACCTCGCGACCTCAGAGAACCAGCATTCTGCCCCTCCGAAAGCGCCCGATCTCAGTCAGAGACTGCTCGAGAGGCTCACGCAACGGCTTGCACCTGTACTGACTCTACGGCATCATCTGGTAGCTGCACCTTCAAACTTCACTGCAGGTGCACACAGCCTCAGACGGTCAGGCGATTACTTTAGAGGCGTAACTTGACACAGGCAGCGCGCAAGAGCATTCCATTGTAGGTTGATAGCAGTGGTAATCATCTGGCATGGTGCATCTTCGTGTTCAAAGGTAAGTCTTCCATACCTAGGTACATTTGCACCATCACGAAGGTGAGTCCACACGTTTTCCCATCAGTCCTGCACGTACGCAATTATGTGAATCTTGTTTGCAAACGTTCCTCGTATTGCTACACCCCTCATGGTGAGGCTTGAGTTTTGTGGCAGTTGCTGAGATCTCGCTCTTTTGGTTTCGAGAGACGCGCGTGACTGCGCTGATCTGCGTCAACCCTCAGAAACCCTGAGAAAGCAGTGTAACGTGACCCATCTCCTGAGAAGATGATTATGCGTTTAGCATGCATACTTCTTAGTGTTTCGGGCGTTCCTATGATCAAAGTATGCTCAAACGAGATCACTGAAGCATTCAGAAAGCTCACGCACACGGCAGCCCAGATCGTTCCCTGACACCCATGCAATTGGGTCAGACGATCAATGGGAACTGTAGCTACCTTGAAATCATCGCCATAAACCGGACGCGAATGCAGATACTCACTTTCACCTAATTCCATCTAGTTACCGACTTTCCATGGGCGTCTAGCGTGGCGCACGGACGAAACGCGTCGCGCGCTCAACCTTTAGTACCGTACTTGCTCCCTACCTTTCCATTCCCCCATCGAAGCAAGTTTTCATCATGGTACGTATCTTTTCCTCCAGACCTGGCGCTATCTCTCAGTGTTGACCGTTGCTAACGTACTCGTATAGGATATTAACATGCTTCCCCCCTCGCCCTCTGGGCTTTCCAACAACAAGAAGGCGAAGAAGGCCTCCGCGAAGATTCTTCGCAAGGCCGTCAACGCTCCCTTGCCGCAGTCGGACGATGCTGATCTCATCGTTCATGAGCAAAGCTCCAATCCTTCGGGTGAGGAGTCTTTGTCAACTACATCCGGGCCTCTTGCAGTCCATGAGACTGAAGAGGCTTCTGGTGACCTCATGGTTCTCGAGCCTGAGGAAGACCGTGACGCGACTGCGGGCCATGAGCCCAAGGTCGATGAGCGGGAAACGGCGGATCCGGACGCGCCTTGGCCGTTCATGATCCACCCGTTTCAAGACGACTCGCTCATCTTGTATGAGAGAGTCGCTGCCTTCAATCACTTCGAGCGTACGGTGAAAGCCGATCGCAAGGAGTGGGAGGAGGAGAAGGCCCCATGTGGTTCTTGTGGGAAGAGGCACCCGCCTCCGTGCGCTACGCGCAGTCAACTCGCCGCTATCAAGGGCGCGATGGCTGAGGGTAGGCAGCTTCGGAAGGAATGGGATGTCCAAGGTCGTCGCCCGCTCGGTGAACCCCAAGGGGAAATGCTGAAGCGCGAGGTGAAGATGGCGAATAGTCATCAAGGCCTTTCCACACCTGCAGTGGCCGCCAAGACTGCTTTTTGCAGTACTTGTGCAAAGTACCACCCTGGTGGTGCGAAGGAGTGCACCGTCCCCTTCTGCACCAAAGGGTGTTCCCTGAACCACCCTCTTGGAGAGGCTTGTGGCGCGGCGGTAAAACGCTTCGCTAATATCAAGCATCTACACGGAGGTGGTGATGGACCAAGCGAGGAGAAGAAGTCGGTGCCTGCGCCCTCAAAAGCAATGGCTCCTGGCGGCTTTGATGCTGAAAAGTTCAAAGCCTTCTACGACGCTATTGGTGACGATCCCGACGTTGCCAACGCATCTGTAGAGCTCTTCAAGGCTTTGGCCACGAAGAGACCTGCAGAGGAGCCGGCTGCAAAGCCGAGTTCCAGCAAGAAGGGCAAGAAGAAGCAGAAGGCAGGTGGTGAGAGCCCCTGTCAAGTCCCGAAGCCGGCGCCGGAAGAACCTAAGGGTTCTGACGACAAAGGCAAGGCCAAGGCCAAGAAGGGCGGCGTTTCAACGCTCACTGGGACTGTTTTCAGCCATCGCTGAGTAACGGGCCTACGGGAGAGGAGACAACCTCTATAAAAAACATGCTCGGGAAGCTCATCCTCCGCGTCGGTCCGGGCGGGAACTTCGTTGACTTTTGTCTTCGATGCTAAACTGAGCAGTACATCGTTAACTATATCCCCTTCAACTCTTTCGTGCAATAAAGCTAACTTGCAGACTCAGGCTCATCTCGATAGCGATACCGAATCCCCCTCCTCCTACGTCAATCTTCGAACGTATACTCTCTCCCTCAAGCGCATTCGCAAACCTGAACGACATGATGTGTCGGTGTGCCACCTTTACGATGGACACGAGATAATAGGGAAGAGCAAAGGGTTGGTGAATACAGGAAATGAAGCACGTTGGCATTTAGCAAGCGGACAACCTACATGATACGGCCGCAAAGGAGTCACGGCGTGGCTGAGCCCATTATGTGGGAGATCTTTACTACCTGGGACTAGGCTGTTTCAAGTCTCATGGGAGACTTTCACCACCGACCTTCTAGTCGAGATTGCTGGGGCAGCTGTGCCCGCAATTCCAGGGCACTACGTTTACTTGTTCCTAGGATACAACGTCATAAACTTTGGGTACCAGGTTTTGAAATTAGGATGAGCAGATAGGCAAGCAAGTACCATTATAGAAGTGTCCAAGTCTAGTAAAGACCTCTGCCGGTATGTGAAGGGGCGATGGACAGGACTGAATCAAACATGTCCTCAGCAGGGGGCAGATCTTAACATATGTTAGACTTTCTCCAGTTAACACTTCCTCAAGATGACCGAACACGTCCGTTCGACTCGACTGGAGCTCGATAAGAATGTGATACTCATGTCGCCATCTTCCCGTCAAAGGTCAAGCCGGGCTCCCGTGCTGATTGCGCCCGTCAGAATGAACGGAGATCACTGACCCTCCAAACTGATTGATCGCAATGGTGCTGCTTGCTTACCTCAATGACACTTCGCGAACATGTAACCGGTCTGGCTAAGTAGCTACAGCTGTTGTTTGGGGTGAGTTGGGTCACATCGCGATGACACCGCTTCTGAATGTGCTGTCGGTATAGTTTTTTCCTTCAAGGGTTTACAGTAGACTCCTCTGATAAGAAGCATCGTCATCATCAGAGAAGTGTAAGAAAGAGAACCTGGTACCACCGTATCTTGTATGTTCAATTGATCTAAGAGTGTAGCGATCCTTGCTACAACAAGAGGTACAACGAAAAGCTTCCAGCAACTCAGCGACGTGTCCGGTTCCATAAAGAACGAGCTGGGTGAGGGCAATGATGTCTATTCGCTGGAACATAGTGCCAAAAGTGACAAAGAGGGTAAGAGCACTGATGTAAAGGCTGCTTAATTGAAAGCTGACCGTGTCCGACTGGGTCGTGTCTGATCCAGTCGGACACGGTCAGTTGTGGTATAGGAGAGATGGAGGAGAGACCTGGAGCAGGTTTATATATGCGGAGACGGCGCTAGTGAGCTTGGACCTATAGTTGCTGCCAAGGTGAAGGTCTCCAATATAACTAGTATAAGTCTGATAGAAAGTCTTTGATGTAAAGGCTGCTTAGTTGAAGGCTGACCGTGTCCGACTAGATATCTAGTCGGACACGGTCAGTTGTGGTGTAGGAGAGACGGAGGAGAGACCTAGAGCAGGTTTATATATACGGAGACGGCGCTAGTGAGCTTGGGTTTATAGTTGCTGCCAAGGTGAAGGTCTCCAATATAACTAGCATGAGTCCGATAGGCAGTCTTAAGTAGAAGAGATGTTCCAAGTCTCATATGTCATTGACACGATCACGACGGTCTCGTCTTGACGAGCGGGTCTATCGTTAAAGTACCCTACATGATGGCTGGAACTACCGTCACATAGTCATAAATGTGCCTGCAGTGGTGTTTAAGTAAGATGCAAAGGCAACTCGAAGGAATGTTGATGTACGTAGAGATAGCGCTCATGGTATTAGATCTGCAGCTCCTGGGGCGAGGCATTATCGCAATAGCAAGTTCGATGAGCACTTCCGTATTGAACGTCACCTCCATACGGATGTAGCGATTTTTACCTGGCTCTATGGACTAGCAATGGTAATGTGCAGGTGAGACGGAGGAGAAGACCAAAGAGAGATGCGTATACGCGAAGACGGCCCTATTGAACTTCGACTTATGGCTGCTTCCGAGATTTGATCGGGACTACCTAGGTACCTTCAGGCGTACGGGTGGATTTGATAGAAACACCGGACTTGAACACCGCTATATATATGCCGCGCAAAAACATCTTGAGATGATTAGGTACTCCGTGCGCCGCACTTTGTGTTGAACATGTGCTTCTTGCACGGTTGCCAGATTGCTTTTCAGTCTCGTAAGCAGGCTGCCTTCATCTCTGTGATCAGTCAACCAGTGATTACAAGAAGTTATAATCGATAGTAGCGGGTTCAAAGGTGCTGGTGTTGGTGCTGGTGTTTGTACTACTGCCGCTCTGGTGGCGACATGACGCAGCAACGGTCTACCTCTTCAACATGACTGTCGTATTACCTTGGAACTAATACTTAGCAATGGATGTTCTTGCTAAAATGCATACACATCCGTGCTTTTCTTCTCCGTGCTTTCTTCCTGCATCTCTTTGCCTCATCACCTGTGATGACCTCTTCCTTCATCACAATTGTTGCTGCTTCTGCCGAGATCTCTTCCTCCGCTTTCGCCGCCGTCAATGGCTTTGACTAATCTTAACTGCTACATTCATCTGCCGTCACGCCAATATTCACACGACTTCATCACAAAACGCGAACGCCACCTTCTCAAAAGCCTTTGCCCTGCCCTCACTCTTAATAGGAGACGCAATGAGACTTCTTTGTCTTAGTTGCAAACACTCAAATCCTAACAGGAAGTATCGCCAAAGTTGGCAGAGCCTACGTATGTGAGCTCACGTTGAGACAGCTATTTGAAGGGCCCATCACGCATCCTGCTATCCACGAGTAAGCTGGATCTGCTTGTAAACACTGGCTCGCAGAATGTGCCTAGTCTGATCCACCCCGCCTCCAAAATCGTTAAGCATATCCGCAAGATCTATTTCCACAATAGGCCCAACGTTGGCAGGGGAGTGGGCCGGCACTGACTATGCCAGTCTGGCCAACCCCGTCTCAAACATCATCAAGCATGTCCGCAAGATGCAGTTCCTCGATAGGACGAACGTTGGTTAGGAGATTAGACCAGCTCTCATAGCTATAACCGTGGACGTCCAGTTTTCAACAAGAAGCGGGAGCAATTAGCGGTCATTGGGTGGGGACGATGGCGTCCAGCTGCAAGTCTGAGCTTTGTGGGTAGCTAGCCGACAGGTGACACTCTTCAAGCAGCGAGAGCGTTTGGCGATTCATGAGGGAGGAAGCACGTCGCACGACTGCGCATTTCAGCTCCGTGGGCAGTCGGCCAATGTGGCCGGTTGTGGGACAGCAAAAGCGATGGGGAGAGATTGAGTGCTCCTGTACACCGCACGCTAGTCGCCTCTGCAAGATTGCTCTAAATCGATACGCGACACTTAGCCGAGATACTCATGGATGCAGGTGTCTTTGGGTGGGCGTCGCATGACTGCGCATTTCAGCTCCGTGGGCAGTCGGCCAATGTGGTCACGCTGGAGAACAGCAGTGAGAGAGGCAGTCGGCAACCTTATATCTACTAGTCTCTGGACGGTACTACTGAACTTCGATACGCGATACTGGGCTCAAATTCTATGGATATCTTCCAAGGCCGCTCAGGTGGGTAGATATCGCACGACTGCGCATTTCAGCTCCGCGGGTAGTCGGCCAATGTGATCGTGCTGAGAGACGACACAAAGGAAGGAAGGGAGAGAGAGAGACCCGAGGAATTTATATTCACTTGTCGGACGGGATGACTGGGGGGTCGATACGCGACACTTGGCCGGAACTTCCATGATGCCGAGAAGGCACCGCACGACTGCGCATTTCAGCTCCACGGGCAGTTGGCCAATGCCTCCGCCGCGGAGAGACAATAGAAAAAGACCTATTCGGCCTCTCTCTATTCGCTGCTCGTTGGACGAGATGACCGAGGATTGATATGCGACGCTTGGCTGAGGTTCGGTGGCTCCCCTGGGTGGGTATCGCACGACTCCACATTGGAGCTCCGCGGGCAGTCGGCCAATGTGGCCGCCATCCCTCGCGATCAACTATGTGGTTGTCCTCCTGTGGACCCTAGGTAGTCACATAGTTGATCGCGAGGGATGGCGGCCAGCAATTGTGGCAGTAGCGCACGACTGCGCATTTCAGCTCCGCGGGCAGTCGGCCAATGTGGCCGCCATCCCTCGCGATCAACTATGTGACTGTTCTCCTGTGGAAGTAGCCACATAGCTGATCGCGAGGGATGGCGGCCAGCAATTGTGGCAGTAGCGCACGACTGCGCATTTCAGCTCCGCGGGCAGCCGGCCAATGTGGCCGGCTGTGGTGTGGCAAAAACAACGATGAGGGAGACATATGGTGTTCCTAAATCCATAGAAAGGTGCAGGAGGTTTCGAGAATTCGACACGCGACACTTGCCGAGACTTTTAAAATTACCGTTGCAACAACTTCGAGTAGACTGTCGTTGTCGTAGCTGAGGCAGATTGTTGTTGACCTGCTTTGTTGGGAATTGTGATGGCATATAGCTCTCCACTATTGCGAGCCCTAAGACGAACCAGAGAACGCTCACCTGCTCTGAGTAAGAAGCTATGATGTAGGCGAAGGAGTACCAGGATACAGAATGCGCAGCCGACAGTCGCATGTAGCTGTTGTAGTCCGTGGAAGGAGAGTAGTGAAGGACGTCGAACAATCGACGACGACTGCTGGTAGTGATGCGATGCCTACATAGGCGCAGGCTACGACAGCCAGATATACACGATGCGAATGTTAATAGATGCGCGTACTATGTCGTGATGAGAAATAGCGCCAATTCCGGCGATCGTATCATGACACGCTTGCGAAGAGAAGGCGCAAGACAAGGAAGGGATTCGGAGTAAGATGTACATATCCGATGGGC